ATTTTTGCATAAACTAATTGACACGTGTTTAATTTTGATAAATGCCCGAATCAGCTATATTTGATATTCAGTCATCAAAGAAGCTTTTTGTTTCTTTTTCCGTTAGCAAGTGATTAATAGCTGTAAAAATGTAATAATTTAAAGAACAAATGAGGTTCTAACCCGAACGACGTTTCTAACGAACCACTAATTGAAAACAAATTGTAAAAAAGCCATGGAAATGTTGAAGCTCTGAAGACGAAAAAGACACAAAACACAGGTTTGTGTCCATCTATTTTTTTTAAGATGCGCTCATCAATTTTTATGGAATTTATTTTCGGATGTATTTTCATTGAAAATGCCGTCTAAGCATCGTCCGCGTGTATGTAATATTTTAAATAAAAAGAGGTTTATTATTCACTAGATTCAAATCGAAGTTGAAATTAAAGAATTTCTGAATAATTTCATCAAAAAATATTTATTATACAATCATATCTTGATGAAAACCGAAAACGGAATTTCTTACCAAAATGAAATATTGTATTTATATTTTCAGCCTCTTTTTATTATCTTAAAAATTGTGGTTTGCAATAAAAATTTCCCACGCATTATTATACATTATTTTCTATTAATCTAATTTCCATTAATATATTACGCGTTATTCGTCCGATGTTTAGAGATTTAGAGAGATAACAACAACTAAAATGTTAATATATATATATATTTATTTTAAAAGCCGCTAATCTTCGGATGCTGCTGTGTTTATTACTCAATTTAATAGCTTTAAATGATTTGGCTGTAAATATTTATATACACTAAACAATATTTATTCCTTAAGGAACAGGCTGTCGATCACATCAGTCTTTCTGTTCTTGAATGTACAGTGTTATTTATTATAAAACAGCAAGCTTCTGAAACTTTTATATTTTCAAAGATTTTTATACCAGTTTGTGGAAAATTTCTTACAAATAATAAAATAGAATACAAAGCTGTCCGAAAAAATAAACGTATATTTATTTTAATGTATAGGTTTTCTTGCACTGATTTTACATAATATGTATGTACCCTCTATCTAATTTTAACTGTTTCCGAACAAAAGTAATCAGTTTCAATTCCAGAAATTATTGAATTCCACGTAGGCGRAAACCATTGAAAAAAGCACTTTAGGTTAGTTTTCCATACCTAAATGTTTCTATTCAAAGATTTTCCTAAACTGGATATTTTAGGCCTACAGGGCTGGTAACAACACGACCATAGCGTTTTCCAAATCATGATTTGGTCAACACTGAGCTTTACTGAAATTAATTGCTGACGTGTTGGTTTTTTCACCTCTGACAAAAAAGTGGTTAAAATGTCCCAGATTATATAAACATGTGCCGACTAATGCATGAAGAATGGTAAAAGGTTAAACAATTCAACATTGAAAGGATGGCGTCAAAACATTGGCGATCCTTGTCTTTGCCTCTGGGCACTATAAAAGTGGAACAAAGCAGCTAAAATCGCTGTTTTACATTCCAGAAACACGAAATTACACTTGTAAATTCTCCATTGTTTGACGATCACGTATACCATCGACGAGCGAAGGTGATTTGCGTTTTACATAATCATCGTTGCTTTAGCAGGGATAAATAGCATTTTGTACTATTATTTCTAATCCGAATTGACGCTTTTCTATTAAGACGTTTTGAAATGCTGATTATCTCCAAGTAAAAGATTTCAAATCAACAGTTCACTGTTCATTAAACGCATCTGTGTAAAGTTTGTTAACTTTAAACTAGACCCCTTTAGCAACAGTCCATACTTGCAAAACGCTCAAGGACTTGAAACGTTCATGAACTAGTGCACATAATAAGAAGCGTTAATTTTCCTTAGCTACGCAGATGCTTCTGGACGTATCTTTATCTAATTTGTTTCAACACGCACTGAGCAACATCATATAAATATGATAAGAAATTTCGAGTAGCCAAGATTTTTCGAGATCTGAATATCTATGTATGTTCAATTTGTTCGCCACATAATTACAATTCGTAATAGTGGATCTGATTGCTATTTAACCTCGACTATTTGATGTGTAACGATGCAAACATTTTTAATGTCTGCTATTCGTTTATCAATTATTCTTTGAAATGTTTCCTATTCCAAAGTGCGGGGTTAATTATCGGCATATAATAATTGGATATAATGACACTCTTATTTCAGTCAACTTGATTTTGCTACTTTATTCAGTTATTACTGCTTATTGTTTTTTGGTGGCAAAATTCCTTTAACATTATTTTTAAACTCCTCTTCGGTCAAGTCGGAAAACTGATTAACCCCCATCTTCCAGCTGGTTTTCCCTTGCTCAAACTCCAAATTATGTTTACGTATCATCTCCAAGTTGTTCTTGAATACCTCAAAGCGCTGCGCTTCTGCTTCAGCTGATTGATATATTTTTTTGTGAAGAGTCTGAAGAGGAATGTTAAATTATAATTCAGATTGCTAGTGTTTAAAGGCTTACCTTAAAGTTCGCCCATTCTTCCTGGTCCGTAAGAAGGGCACTGGCTAAGGTAAGTGCCAAACTTATCAGCAAAATTGCTGCTTTCATGATGTTTAAGTATCTTTGTGTTTAAGCTAAAATGCTTTATCACACTATGACTAGATCGATTTTGCAAATCGTTTAATCACCCCCCTATCTTTTGATTAGATTTCAAGTGGAGACACAAATATCTGATGCTTTTCGAATTGTGTCCTTGTTGAAGCAAATAACATGCTCATGATTATCAATATCAAAGTAGCGTTTTTCTGAATAATAATTTCTCTTCTATGAAGGTTTAAATTGAAGATTGTTGCAAATGTATTAAAATACGAAAATAATATTTGTTTTATAGGATTATTTGTTAACGCGTTTATAACCCCATTGCGTTTCTGGTTGTTTCAATCACTTTACTGGCTGATTTAAAATTAGCGTCGTTCAAATATAACTCCAAATAATGTTCTAAAATGGATAAAATCTGAATTTTTACAAGAAAAAACTTCATTAATTAATTAATTATTAATCTAAAGTCGTTTTAATAAAAAATGCTTGTTTAAAATTGGCATACAAAAAATGAATTGATTACGCATTATACAAGGCATTTTACAAGCAATAAAATGCGGTAAACTCTTCCATGGGCAACACTTTCAAACCGTTTAGAGAGAATCGAAAAACATGCAGATATGGATGTCGACTTAAATTTTACGATAATTATTGTTCGTGAAAGATATGAAGTGGCCCGAATCACGAACAGAACATCCAATCAAGCCAGGCCCAATCAGTTGAACTTGAAAAATATGTTTTTTGTTTGTGTCTCTGTACTGATCACATTATGCGCGTAATTTTCTTCAATGCATTTATCTTGAAAACGACTGGGAATCGCGTCTATCGTTAATAATTAAATCCGTGTTTCCTTTCGTAGCAAGGATTTCATGAACCAGTTTTTGACGGAAAATATTAATCAGAGAAGCGTTTCGCACATTTATGAAATATTATCTCTTCTTCGATGTCTCTGAAATATGTATATAGTTGAAAATTGCTGATCAGTCTTTTATTTGCGATATAACACTTCTTTGACTCCCTTCATGCCCCCCGCTTTTACCCAATTCTTTACATCTACACCATCAACATTCCAAAAGAAGCATCCGCATTTTTAGAGCCTACCTAGGTATATCTTTTAAACAAGAGAGCGCTGAGTAAATGCTTTCATTACGAGACCGATTTTACCGGGCTGGCAAAAATTAGGATTATGGTGGATTTCCATGAAACTATCAGCATATTTAAAGTCAGCATATTTAAAGTCAGCATAGCTTCAAATTGTTATTTGATTTAGTTTCAAAGACGTAAATTTTCAAACTCACATTTCCTAAGCTGGCAAAAATCAGGATTAAAGCCGATTTTTATGAAACTTTCGGCATCTTAAGAGTCAAAGATCTGCTAAAGTTGGTGAACATTTCAAATTGTTGTCTGTTTTAATTTGGAAGATACGGATTTTGAAGAAGAGAGCGCAGTTGAGAAAAATATCCATTTGAGACCGATTTAACAAATTTAGCAAATTGGCATCAGGGAATTCCGGAGATTTTTATCAAACTTTCAGCATCTGTAGAGCCAAGTGACTTCTAAAGATTGTGAAAATTTCAATTTGTTGCCGGTTTTAATTTAGAAGATACGAATTTCTAAGAAGCGAGCGGCGTTGAGAAAAATTTTCATTTGAGGCCGATATTTACGAACCTTTTATGATCTGTAGGGTAAAGTATTTTCCAAAAATGGTGAAAACTTAATTTTGCTACTAGCTTTAGTTAAGAAAATAGGTATTAAAAAAGAGAGAACACTTGGCATAATTTTGAAAATTCATTTTGATAGCGATATTTACTAGTCTGGCAAAAATCAGTATTATAAGCGATTTTTATAAAACTTTAAGTTTTATAGAGTCAAGTGTCTTCTAAAAGTTATGAACATTTCAATTTGTTGATTGTTTTAATTTAGAAGTTGCGAATTTTTAAGAAGAAAGCGCAGTTGAGAAAATACTTCCACTTGAGACCGATATTAGCCAACCAGGCGACATTCAGGGACTTCCGGAGATTTGTATCAAACTTTCAGCATCTGTAGAAGAATAACATCTGTCTTCTGAAGATTGTGAAAATTTCAATTTGTTGCTTGTTGTAATTTGGAAGATACGAATTTTTAAGAAGAGAGCGCAGTTGAGAAAATTGTCCAATTGAGACCGATATTTACGAACCTGGCAATAATTAGGGCTCGTGGCGATTTTAACAAAATTTAGAGCGTCTGTACGGTAAATTATTTTCTGAAAATGGTGAAACCTTATTTTTGATACTGGCTTTAGTTACGGAAATGCAATTTAAAAAAAAAAGAGCGCACTTGTCAAGCTTTTGAAAATTCACTTTGATATTTACTAATCTGGAAAAAATCAGTGGGCAATTTTTATACTTTGGGCATCTGTCGAGCCAAATGTCTTCTAAAGCTGGTGAAAATTCCAAATTGCTGCATGCGTTAAGTGCGAAGATGCGAATTTTTAAGAAGAGCGCATTTCACATCCTTTTGCACATTCATTCTGACAGCGTTATTCACTAATTTGTAAAAATTTTATGAATCGACCAGTATCTTTAGCATCTAATAATAATAAATAAAAGCTAACTGATTGATGGGTCAGCCAGAAACCTGATGTTGTACATCGGACATACGCATAAACCATCTGAGCAATTAATATGTTGTTGGATCATCAAAAATCGCGTGCATGGAACTTCAGCTTCAATCATGTTATCCAATCTGGCAATTGATGGTTTAACTGGTTTAAAATGTTAACTGATATTGAAAACTTAGCCTCAATTGCCCTTAACAATGACGCCAAGTTTGAGTCAACCCACAATGAGTCAATTCATTTCTATTGCTCCTCTTCACATTAAGTGCATCCTCCACTATGGTACCTACTCAATACTGTTGCACAAAACATTGCCTGATACATCCATTAAAACGGGAAAACATTGTCTATTAACCATCTCATAATGGTTAAGCTGAGTGAAACAGCTTAAATTTGAGGCTTGATAAGCGATATATATCAAAACTAGATATTGTTGTTTGAGATATAAGTCGTCTGGATACCTGTATTTATCTAGTTGTACCTAGTCGTTTAACATTGCGAGCGTCAGCTTTAGACTTTGTGCTTTTGGTATAATTCGTTTTTTAGTTGTTTTTTGGTGAGTCTTATTTACCAGTAGCTGGTTATTACTCTTTGATATGTTCAGAAGTCAAAGTCCCAGATAACTTACTATATTTACTAATTTCACTGACCCATATCGTTTGAACAGCACTAACAAGCGTGCTATGAATGATCGCTGTGACCTTTCTATCAGCAATTATTTCGTCTAATGCACTTGTGCGACCGACAGTTTATCTGCTGTGAAGGTCTTGTAGTACTGGTCGCATAGGTCAGGTTTCCCGCACACAACTAACAAAAATAATTTACTAGAATAAAAATATCCACAAAAGTGTGTTTCGCAGTTTTGACTGCTCAAATCTAACCCCGTTTTTTAATTACTTGATACTATTAATAAGTTGTTGCGGAGACACTATGATATGCGGCACCTTATCTTCTACATGTGTTACTCTGGCTCATTGAAATTCAACAGGATATTTCTGCTCGTTCGCTATGCAATCATTATGCTTACTGTAATAATAGTCATGTGTCCCACGTTATCATTTAAGAGATATTGTGTACTGCGTTCATCACGAAGAGTTACGAAACATAATGGCGCGCAAGTATTTTAAACATAATAATTTTAATTTTTTCCTGATAAGGTTTCAACTGTTCTGCGATTTATTGCCACACTTCGCACGCGCTTTTCCAGAATTATCATTCATCAAATCTTAGGAATAATATGAGAAGCTTGTCCAACGTTTTATATTTAGTAAATTTACTGTTTGGTTTTGATAGTATTTGTAGATGACATGTATTTTAACAGGAATGAATGTATTAAGAGTTTTATTCCAAATATTGCACTGTTTGTACGAAATGAGAATTTATTCAATTAACATCAGCTAGCCAAACCCCCAATTTTAAAGCTCTGTAAATACATATAGTAAATATATATAGAAATAATCTTTATTTCCTATAGAAACAGCTATCGACCCAATCGGTCTTTCTGCCCTTGTGTAGTATCTTAGCCTAATGTAAATACATTTACGATGGTATTTACTAACATTACAGTGGCTCAATGTCAATGTTGGAATTTAAGTTTTATTTAATTAACTGTGCTAAATGGATTTTTCAGACAATTATGATTTCGAATTTCTGACGAATTGTTTATCGTAGTTTCTCGATTGAGTCAGGCTTTGTTTGAATGAGACGAATATTACGCGTTTTCTCAAAAGAAAAAATGCGGTGGTGTTAAGTCTGGATATCTTGCTGGTCTCGTCACAAGGTCTCGTTTTCTGATCATCTAATCCCAGAAAAATCGAAGGTTTCAAGGTATTTTTAAGCATGATCTTTGCTTTGCTTATTAACGTGCCCCTTCAAAAACAAAGAACATTCAGCAAAAAAATGTTAACTAGGAAATGGCTGGATTCTCGTAAAAAAATGGTATTGTTATTTTTTATTGTGTAAAAATAAAGAACCCTTTATATGTTTCGTGTTAGTTTTCTTGGCTCTAAGTTTCCTTGACTCTCTTTCTTCAACTGTAAAACCTGTTGAGCTCTTTTGCCACGATTAAAAGTTTTTTATTTCAATAGGTGCCATCTTTAGTGCGAATCCATTTAATTTCATCATGGAATATTTGTCTTGTTTATATATTTTTTCCAGTTAATCAGTTTAAGCGTAGGTACTTTTCCAAAGTGATTCGAACCATATTATTAAATCATTACGTTTTTCAAATCAATTTTGAAGATTTGAGTAAAATAAAACACTCATGAAAACTTTTAATCTTGCGACTTCTATGACAATCCGTTTTTTTTTCGGTCCAGCTGCAGCGAAAGTAAACAAGTCTGCATAAAAAAACGTCGATTTAATCGTTGATTGAATAATTTAATGTTTGATCTAAACTACCTGTCTGGAGTTTAAATGCACTCAATGTTTCGGCCTGAACTTTAACTACACGTTTAATAATATCTACTGTAGGTAAACCAATAAGGAAAAGTGAAGTGAAATGAACGGTTTAATGACACTGTTATGCACAAGGTTTCATAGATTGTTAAAAAAAACAAGCAGAACTTTCAAAATCGGCCTCAGTACGAAAACGAGTTGATGTCAATGTGCGCCTAAAAGCACAATTAAAAAAAAAACCGTTTTAGGAATTTCGCTGAAGAAAATGGCAAAGTTCCTGTGAATATAAGATAAAAGCGTTATTACTCAAGCTTTAATCCTCAATCGGATCAACACGATTCTGAAAACGTATGCTGTAATCGCTTCGTTTTCTTTGTAAAATGACAAAGTTGGGAATTATGAATTGCATTCAAAATGAGATTTGACGAACGTGAATGAAGACGATAGTTGAAGTTAAGCAAATCTGCAGTCTTGCTTTCCTCTAAGAATAATGTGGGAAGACAGCAATATTTGCATGTTTGTAGTAGAAATATCCTTCTTTTTGGGAGCACGTAGGTCTGCTCGCAAACTAAAAAAATCATCAGTAATTTTACCTAAGAGAATCTAGAAATTACAGAAGACTCGGGAAAACACGAAAAAAAATTACACAATAATTACATATCTTTTTACATTTTTCCAATAAACTCTGATAAATAGTTTCAGCTTCAAAGGTGGTTTAATTAGGTAGTAAAATAGAAACCACCATATATATTGCTTATTTCAATTTTCATGTATATTATATTAATACTTTTCAATTTCGCATTGTTATTCCTACTTTGACACACTCGAATGTGCTTATTTACTTTATTAACTACAAATTTCCCAAAGTAAAAAAAGTAAAAGTTTATAATATAAAATTCGCTTCTTCTGAGGCTTTATAAATTATTTAACTCTTATTTGAATGAGGAACGCACTTAAAAGTTGGCATTCTGTGAAAGATAGATGTTTTACCACACCAGATAAAGTAGCTTTGGAAAAATTACCAAATGCAATAAACAACTTGCTGGATCTGCAGGAATTTGCTCTTCCATTATCGAGGAACTTATCATTTTCGCTAGTCCAAATAATGTTCTCGTATCAAAATGTATGTTCGGAACACTTTTCCCATCAGTTGTGTTTTGTTTCTTCAAGAGCAATGAAGATTCAAGGTTGGTTGGTCCATTTTGCAACCGCTTTATTTTTTTTTTGTATTTCGCACCCAATAGCTTCTAAATAAAGTTGTTGCTAAATATTTCAGTCAATGTTTTATTCACTTTAAGGCCATTTTACCGGTATTTCGGAAGTAGCACACTTCAATAACAAAGTTTACCCAATAGAGGGTCAATATTCTCGAACAATTTACTGTTCAAAATGAAAAGTAGATGAACATATTTAACACTGTTAAAGCAAGAAGCTTTTTAGGTTTTAGTCAAATTAAAACGCAATTTTCAAATTGATTGCCTGTAAGATACTGCTTTTAAACCCTACAACAGGTACAGTACAACTACTTACAAGACAAATATATAAAATAAAATAACAAATTGAAACATTTTTGCAATGAAAGTTGTTGATATTTGTTTTAAAATCAATTATGATCTAATTTGTTAGCAAATCGAGCGATTTTTTTTTTGTATTAAAGCACACATGAAAAGAAAATTATGATAGCGAAAAGTGTAAAACGAAATGCTAAATATATCGTGAGAATTTAAATAATGTTATAAAAGTGATCTAAAAAAACTGCAAATGAGACTTTTATCGTAAAATATTTTGTATGTAATCAATATAATGTTTTTATAGAAAATTGTATGAAGTTAATACCAAAAGAGACGTTAAAAAGTCGTTTGGAATATGCGTTTAAATTTGATTGAACTCAAGATTTCCGCAGAATTTTCAGTCAATAAATAGTCCGGTAGATACGAATATTCAGAGTAGGAATTTATGCTACCTGAGTTTAATTGAATGTTTCCATATTAATAAACTAGTAAATTTTCAACTAAAAAAGTATTTCCTAAGTTGACAAATGCCCAGAACCGAGATAAAAGATATTTTAGACTCAGTGTTTCATTGATAAAACATCATTTTATAATTTACAAAGCAGGGTCAATATTCTAGATCTGTTTACTCTTGAAAATTAAATAGTAGTTTCTGCCATGTCAGTCTGTAAATATCGAGCATTTCTAAAACTGTTTGAGCACGTAAATCCTCTGTTTTTCGTCAAATTAGAACGCACATTTGAAATCGATTGTAAAGCGCGGTTTTAAACCATAATTAGAGAGTGTTTACAAACAAAATGTGACAATGAAAAGCAATAAAGGGACAAAAATAGACCACTGAAATGCTTCTTTCATTTACTCTTAGTTTTGTTTTCTTTTGGTGTAAATCGTGTAAAACGCTTTGTTTAAATTGTATCGTGAGATTTTAAATAGTGTCATTATGTCAATAATGAAAGTTTTATCGTTAAAGAATTTTGTATTTAATCAATCTAATAGTTTCATAGGAAAATGTATGAAACAAAGGTTTATATACCCAAGCAGGTGTTAGAAAACCCTCTATTTGGCATATGCGTTTTAATTTGAACAAAAACTCAAAAAAATGAAAATGGAAAAACCAAATGTTTCAGTTCAGTGCTTCATTGATAAAGAATGTTTTCAAATGTCTACCTAATGGAAATATCGAGATATTTTTCGAACAGTATTTTCCCATTTGTTCTAATACAACAGGATGCGCCAAATACTTACTTAAATAATTAAAATACTATTATCCATCGATTTAAATTTCTGAATTTCCACACATTTCTGTCCTGTGCGAAAGAATTAATCAATGATGCGCTCAAGATAAAAAGTTACATGCTGTATCCCAACCATGATCCCAGATAGTTGTTGCTCGACACAACACGCAATCAAGCTACTTTTCGCTCGAAATTTGCAAGTAATGTAGCCGAATCTGCCGCACAATATTAATATTACTGTTTTCATGTCGTTTTAATTAAATTGGTCGTTATCAGTCGGGGCTCACCAGTGACGTAGTTGCAGTATATTTATGGGTACTGGTGCAGGTTCCACCGATCATTCTAACAAAAGCTGGCGAGTTGAACTCATATAAGTGGTTCCGGTGCAAAAGTGCTCATCAGTGATTGTTTCTTTGAATTTTTCGCTATGGCTTCGAGTGTTGTGTCTTGGATTACAGGATTAGTTATGGTGAGTTCACGAAATTTATTTGAGTTTCTTCAATGGGGTTTCACGGAAACCTGCATTTTTCTGAATTGGTTGCGTCCAGTTTTTTACTGGGTTTTTCTGGCAAATTTCCAGTTTTTAAAACTTGTTGATAGATTTACTTGTCCTCGGGTTTTCCAGCATTCTTCGCGTATTTCCAGTAGTTAATTGCATTTGAAGATGGTCAGCTTTGTAATTAATGCGGTTTTCCCTCAGGGATCGATCATGGAAGAAACCCAAGCAGACGTTGTAACTGAAAACATCTCCGAAGCTGCCGATTCACTCTTTAGCATGTTCGACATCGTGCTGCTGGCGATCATAATTGGGGCCGCAAGCTGGTGGTTGGTCAAGAGGAACAACAGATCAATCGACTCGCTCTCCAACATCAAATCCTACTCCATTCAGTACGTTATTTGCGCTTTGGACAATTTGAACGTTTGATGGGAACTTTTGCTCATTTTCAGGCCTACATCTATTGTGATTCAGAGCCCCACCGATAACTCGTTCGTTAAGAAGTTGCAATCTTCCGGAAGGAGTTTGGTGGTGTTCTACGGTAGTCAGACAGGCACAGGGGAGGAGTTTGCTGGACGCTTGGCCAAAGAGGGCGTCAGATATAGGCTGAAAGGAATGGTAGCTGACCCGGAGGAATGCGATATGGTAAGTGAACATTTCACAAACATTTTTCCATTCTCAGAACTTTAATGGGTCTTTAAAGCGGGGAAAATTGCAATTTATGCCAATGGCCAAGAGGTTGCTGACCCTGGTTGATTTTACAACATTACATGGCACTGGACGACCTTAAACGTGAGCTTTATTGCTTACTCGAATTGCGCAATTTGGGGAGCGAAGCAAAACAACACTTTAGATTTTATCGGGTTTGACTAAATCTGAACTCGAGTAATATGATGATTCTTCGACTTTATGAGCCTGAAACATTATTAATTCATGATCGTCATCCATGTGGTTTTTGAACTTTCGAACATATGAAATTATTAATATATCCGAAATCGCTCGGTTAATGAAATTTTGCATATGTCCAACAGCTATCGGGTGGACATGTTTCCATTGAATCGATTTATCAAATTTACCATTTCATTGCTTGTTCAAGTGTAAGCAAAAAAGATCGCTTGAGTTTTCGTCCGGAAGCTCAACAAGTTTGAGTAAAAAATAAAATCCGTATTAATTCACGCCTTGAAGTCTTCACATCAACAGTTATTTTTGAACGCATAACTGGAGCTATAAAAGGACACCAAAAAATGTTTTAAAATACATTTTAGTTGAACTAAATAGACTAAGAGCAATGAAATTCAACTTGTAGCGTTCTAAGCTTTATAGTGTGGTTCTGAGCTATCTATAAAAATTTATCTGTTTACAAATATGTAGGGAAGGAGTGGTCTGTAAGCGGGTTGATAAGATAGTTTTATAGATTTTCAGACGAATGAGCCCTGATACAAAATCTATGATTTGTTACCTACTTTATTTTATGCAGCGATCCAGGAAAACGCGATTATCTGTTGGTTTTTATAAGTTTGCAATAAATCTATAAGCTTTTATGACCTGTTTATTCACCCGTGGAAACTTAAGTGTTTTCTGTAAGCTACAAGATCTTACATACTTCGCAGAATTGCACCTTTCTTGTCAATTCATGAAACGTTCCAGATTGTTTTACAGATTCTTTGGCACCATGAGTTTCCTATGCATAAAATTTCGTTTCCGTCCCAGATGTTCGGTCGGTTTCTTATTTCCTCAAAACCATCGATTATCGACTGTTCGAAAATATTTTAGTTTTTTCCTGACGTTTTGTTGAAAATGAACTTCAAATTTCCCCATACGTAAAAATCAAGAGTATTGAAATCTGGGGAGTTTGATGGCCATTACTGGATTCCTTCTTTTACCTCCTTGCCCATTGAGCCAAACTTCTTCTAATTTCTATGGGCACAGCCTCCAATAAAAGAGGCAGTTCATTTTAGAGAAACTATGTTTCAAGCCAAAGTGGAAGAAAAATAGAACCTATCACGTAATTTTCAATAATTTCTGCCCACACGTTTAGTGAAAACTGGCAGTGAAACTGTCTTTCACTAACTATGTTTTGATTTTTCATTTTTTCAGAGTCTGAGTTAAAATTGTTAAAAAGTTAAAATAACTGTTTATATGAGGATTCTACCACGTGAATTAATACGATTTTAATGTTTCTACTCGAAGATGGTGGGTTGTACGAAGAAAACACAAGCGAACTATTTGGTTGGAATTGAACCAAGCATGGAAAGAGTAAAATTAGTATTTTCGTTCAAAAATATGGTCAGATCTGAAGGCGCCAAAACTGAACCAGAAAAATGTTTCATTCGATAGAAACACATCGACACGAAGCAATAGGCATCTGCAAAATTTCATTAAATATCTGACGGGATTTCGGACATATTAATAAAATTTACCGATTTTTTAAAACTTTTTGTAACAATTTTGTAATGGTGCCCCAAGGGCCCTCGTTTATTAGAACTTTTCATCTTGAAAAGCCGGCAATTGATTTGGCTCAAGTTCTATATGGTTGAAGCAGGTACAAACTTATAAAACCCTTTTTCCCTAGCGTGTAATCGAACATTTTGAATCTCATATTATAGATAAATTATAACATTAATTTAACAGCGAGAAAAACCGAAAGCCAAAGAAAAGCTGTTAGCCTAGAATTAAAAAACATTACACGTGTTTTTCTATGCTTTTAGGAGGAACTGGTCAATCTTAAAAACATCCCCAACTCATTGGCAGTCTTCTGTATGGCAACTTACGGAGAAGGTGACCCCACAGACAATGCCATGGAATTCTACGAGTGGCTCCAGAATGGAGATGCTGATTTAACAGGACTCAACTATGCTGTAAGTCGATTTGTTCATTGTCGGCCCTTCGGTTCCCAATTTAAGTTGCGTATTTTTGCAGATTTTCGGCTTGGGCAACAAGACCTACGAACATTACAATGAAGTGGCGATTTACCTGGACAAGAGGCTGGAAGAATTGGGCGCAACGCGCGTTTATGAGCTGGGATTGGGAGACGACGATGCCAAGTAAGTTTCGCTATTATTGACCTAAATTGAACATGCATTGTGGATGACCTTTTTGACATTTGCATGTGCTTTATAAAGTGGACTATGAACGAAATACCAATTTGCATCTCATATTCAATTGGAAAATTACATAGTTACCCAACCAATCATTGTATGCACGCAAATGATTTTATAATCTTTCAAATCATCAGCGACTCTACGTTGATTGTAAATTGCAGCTTTAAAAATATTCTCCTTCAAATTTCAAGGGAAATTTCTTTCCAGCATTGAGGATGATTTTATCACATGGAAAGACAAATTCTGGCCAGTCGTTTGCGACTTTTTCGGCATTGAATCAACTGGCGAAGACATCAGCATGCGCCAGTACCGAGTTGAAGAATACGAAGATGCTCCTGACAGGGTTTTCTCTGGTGAAATGGCCCGATTGCACTCGTTGAAGAACCAAAGACCGTAAGTTGATAACTCATAATAATCTTCAACGCTTTGCTTCCGTTCATTTTCTTCCTCAACTGTTTATAAAACGACATTGTTTATTTTTGCAGACCGTACGACGCAAAGAACCCCTACTTGTCCAAGATCCTGATCAATCGCGAACTGTTCAAAGGAGGCGAGAGACATTGCATGCATCTGGAATTTGATATTGAAGACTCGAAGATGCGCTACGAATCCGGAGATCATTTGGCCGTTTACCCGATTAACAACACTGAACTAGTTGAGAAGGTTTGTGGCATTCGATTTTTTTTGCGATCTTGTTGGCAATTTTATGGTGGGTTTCATAGATTGGAAAGCTGTGCGAAAAAAGTCTGGACACGATATTCTCGCTGATCAACACCGACGAAGAATCCAGCAAGAAACACCCGTTCCCGTGTCCATGCAGTTACAGGACCGCGTTGACTCACTATTTGGACATCACGCAAAATCCCCGCACTCACGTTTTGAAAGAGCTGGCGGAATACTGCTCAGACCCCGCTGAAAAGGAGAAATTGAAGCTGATGGCCAGTACAAGCCCTGAAGGTAAACGACCGCATTCAATACGCATAATCGCAAATCTAAAGTTCTGGTTCTATTGCAGGAAAAGCGCTATACCAGAAGTGGATCAACGAAGACAATCGCAACATTGTTCACATCCTAGAAGACTTACCCTCGTGTAAACCCGCCCTGGACCATCTCTGCGAGTTGCTGCCAAGACTTCAGCCTCGCTATTACTCCATCTCTTCCTCCCCCAAAGAGCATCCGAACACTGTTCATGTCACAGCGGTTCTTGTAGAGTATCAAACGCCCACAGGACGCGTAAATAAAGGTAATCAGTATTTTCTAGATGCGTTAAGGCTTTCTACAATGTCTGTTTGCTTTAGGCGTCGCCACCACATGGCTAAGAGAAAAAATCCCATCCCCTGATAGTGCCACGCCGTTGACGGTCCCCATTTTCATCAGGAAGTCACAGTTTAGGCTTCCAACTAAACCGCAAGTTCCAATTATTATGGTAGGACCCGGTACAGGAGTGGCGCCTTTCAGAGGATTCATTCAGGAGAGGAACTTCACGAAAGTGGAAGGCAAACAGGTAAGGAATATGAATATGCTACGGTCTAAAGTAGTCGTACATTTTGGTGCTCTACAAGGAGTCAGTAAATAATTTCAATATAATTCAGGTGGGCCAAACCGTGCTTTACTTCGGGTGCAGAAAGAAGGATGAAGACTTCCTTTACCAAGAGGAGTTCTTGAAATATCAGGAAAATGGACTACTGACACTGAACGTTGCCTTCTCGAGGGAACAGGCACAGAAGGTCTACGTAACGCATCTGGTGGAAAAGGATGCAGATACGATTTGGAACATCTTTGAGAATGGCGGTCACTTGTACATTTGCGGGTAAGTTTTACGCCAGTTTTGATTGTTATTTAGCCAATTTTCATTATTTAACTACGTTTTTTATTCGATTCTTAGAAGTGTTCCCATCAAATGAAATTTAATGGTTTTTTCATGAGCTGCAATAAATCCACACACACAAAACACTTGGGCCCATATTAACTCAATTATAATAATTGAATTCAATTCGCAATTCCAACGCTCGTTTGTTACAATTGAAATCCTATTAAACCACGATTAAAACGCAATTTTGCATTTAAAGACAGCAGCAGTAGGGAAAATACTAAACACATAAAAGAAGTTCCGACTTCAATCGCCTCACGACTTATTTTGTTCAGTTTTGTGGGACTTTAATACTGATATTCCTCAAAATCAAGTTTACCTTTACATTTGCCTGATGATATAACTTCTAATAAAACCCATGGAATTCAGAATAAGCTTCTATTTCCTTTTAAGTTTGCCACTCATATAACTAGAACTAATTCATTACAGGGATGCAAAATCAATGGCCGTGGACGTACGTAACATAATACTGAAAATCATTCAAGAAAAGGGCAGTCTTACCGAAGAACAAGCGCAAGTCTACTATAAGAAAATGGAAACGCAAAAACGCATCTCGATGGATGTCTGGAGTTAAAGCAGAAGCCTCAAGATACGTTTTTTAGACGGTTTGATAATTAGGAGTCGCGGGAAATTTCGCGACTCGGGCAGCTGTGAGTGAGTGGTATTTCCGTGATAATGGAAATGTTCTCAAGTGAACTGCACACTAGTCTGCGCTCGCAGAACCGCAGTTTTTATTTATTAAATAGTGTTAGGAATTTTTATAAGTAAAAACATTGACACTTGTTTGCCGTTATTTGGTCTAGAATTCGATTTGCCATTTTGCTCCCAACAAAGGACAAAAAGCTTCAGATAATTAGGAAAATTGGCTGTACATAAATTAGCTTAAGAAATTGATAACTGACAAACAGTGCCTAGTTGATACTTGAACAATTGGCTCTCATTATGGTGCTAATTTTCGGGGCGTATATTTTTGTTATTCGGAAGCTTGATTTGCCAATTATCGCAAAGGTTACTGGCATTTAGTATTGAGATAATATTTTACAATGAGTGCCTTGTAAAGACACCCTCTAATCTCTCAGATATGTGAGAAAGATTATTACTCTTTTTCGAGTTAAAGGACGTTCCAGTTGGAGTTTGGTATTGAAAAACGCTTCCAGATACTTCAGTCATTCGAACGCTCCACAGATATATTTGTTCTATTTTCGTAGTCAATTTTTCAACCCGTGATGTGTATGTATTTATTTTATTTTTGTTAAGTATATGTATTGTTTTAGAATATATTGTATCACGTCTTTTTCCAATAAATTGTAACAAATAAATATGGTTGTTTATCTCTTTTATCTTATTTTCTAAGAGAACCGGTTGAGTTGCCATTGCCGGATAGAGCCTTAAAAAATACTCAATTTTTATAATGAATAGTATTTAAAGAATGTTTCTAGTTTTTACGCAAAATGCGAAAATTCAAAATTAATGCGGGTCTTAAAAATCGCTGTTTAGTCTTAAGCTCATATTTAGAGACCAAGTTGAGCTGGGGTTGGAAGTGCCGGACAAAAACTTAAAATCCACACGTTTTTTTTTCATATCAAACCTTATTTCAGATTGTTTCTAGTTTTCACGCAAAATGCGAAAATTCTAAATTAATGTGGGTCTTGAAAGCCGCAGTTAAATTTTGGCTCATATTTAGCGATCCAGTTGAGTTGCAAATATCTACTTGTTATTAAAGATATTATTAAGATAGATAGTTAATTAAGTAAATTAAGTATAGAGTCTTAAATCACCCAATTTTGTATACCAAACTTTATTTAAAGAACGTTTCTAGTTTTCACGAAAATGCACAAATTTTAAATTAATGCGGGTCTTGAGAACCGTTTTCAGTATTCGGCTCGTACTAAGAGAACCAGTTAAGCTGCAAAGTTCTGGTTGTCTTTGCGGGATAGGGCTTTATAATGTTCACATTTTTTATATAAAACATTATTTAAGTTTCTAGTTTTCACGAAAAAGGCGAAAATTCAAAATGAATATGGGTCTTGAACACAGGTATCGATTTTTGACATTTTCATATTTAGAAAACCAGTTGAGTTGCGACTCTCTACTTGTTATGGCGGGATAGAACCTTAAAATACCCAATTTTTATACCAAACTTTATTTAAAGAATGTTTCTAGTTTTCATAAAAATGCAAAAAAAAATCTAATGCGGGTGTTGAGAACCGCAGTTAAATTTTGGCTCATATTTAGAGAACCAGTTGAGTTGCAAACCTCTACTTGTTATTGTGGAATAGTGGCTTGAAACACCCAATTTTTTATACCAAACTTTATTTAAAGAACGTTTCTAGTTTTCACGAAAAAGGCGAAAATTCAACATTAATATGGGTCTTGAACACAGGTATCGATTTTTGACATTTTCATATTTAGAAAACCAGTTGAGTTGCGACTTTCTACTTGTTATTGCGGGATAGGACCTTAAAATACGAACTCTTTTACACCAAACATTGTTGCAAAAATATGTCTAGTTTTCACGCAAAATGCAAAATTTATGCGGGTCTTGAGAACCGCTCTTGGTATTTGGCTCGTATTTAGAGAACCAGTTAAACTGCCAAGTTCTGGTTGCCATTGCACGATTGATCATTAAAATACCCACATTTTTTAAAGAAAGTTTCTAGTTTTCACGCAAAATGCGAAAGTTCAAAATTAATGCAGGTCTCAAAAACTGTTGTTAGTCTTAGGCTCATATTTAGAGAACCAGTTGAGTTCCCTAAATATGAACCAAAGTTAGAAACTTTGGTCTATACATATACATATTTAGAGAACCTGTGCAGCTCCAAAGCTCTGGCTGCGATTGAGGCATGGAGCCATAAAATACGCACTGCTTTATACCAAACATCATTAAAAGAATTGTCATTGTTGTTTACAAACGAAAACAAAAAAAGTACTAAAATGTGTTTATTCTTCAAGTTTCTATGACGTTCCAGTAGTTCCGTACTACTAGAACAGAGCAATGAATTGCACGATCAGTTTGGAGCGTCGCGCTCATGGGTTTACAATGTGATGGTAGTAAAAAAAATACTACCTAGTCGTTCTCATGACATTCGCTTAAACGATTACAATAAAAAACAATAATAATACAGCAATTTGTGTAATAAATGTGTAGCTGGCCGTGGAAACAAATTATTTTTAGACCAATAATTATAAACATATTTTCTCAAATATATTTAAATAATCGTGTAAAATGGACGGTAACTATTTTACTCAAGACTTCATTTGCCACCAAACTATCCCGTTATTTCCAAGGCCATCTATAGACAGAAAGACTTCAGTGTTCAATAGTGACAAAAACAATGGAATAACCCATGTATAAAACAATTCTTCCTTATTAATCGCTTATAGAGCAACGGCATTCAATTCGAAACTAAGGGTTTACAAAAAAAATCACATCGGCATTCAATTCGAAACTAAGGGTTTACAAAAAAAATCACATCGGCAGTGGACAGTTTGGAAATAACAATTATTACTATGACAAATAATTTGGAAGACACATTAAGAGCGTACGTTTTCTCAGAAGGCACGATTGCTTGATTGCGGCTACTGTACAATTAATAATAAAGACCGACTATAAATACAATAAAGTTATCTGCTGCACAATCATTTTCATCAAATTGAAAAATCACACAATGTGCCAAATTACGTTTACCAACATTTATCAATAAAATTATCGCAGGAAAATATAAAAATAATAAATGCGCGTAAAGTAAAACTTACTGTTTCTTTTGCCGAATTGATTTCTAGATCAAGATCTATTTACCCTGTGTAGTAAAACAAAAGAAACAGAATTTGGTATTGAAACCTACATTTGATCGCTTGATAATAAGGGCGCAATTTACCATAATATATGCATTCAAATAAAATATCAAAACTAAAAAAAATCACTTAGCAAAGTGGCTCATTCTCACGATTGGCACATTCTGTATAAGAGTATCAATACTGTACAATGATGCTAAAGCTAATATTTCACACTTTCGTCCCGTTCTTCTGATGTTCACCTATAGTTACCTGGGTAACAAAAGGACCGCGATGTTGTCCAGCCTGTCTCGCTATTGCGTTTCCTCCTCTCGGTTGTCCCGGCCTACTATGCACCGCCAGGTTCTGCCTACTTTGCACGGAGTTGGCGTTGATATCCTGCTGTGGATAGTGGGCGTTTGTGGGACGCGCTTGTCGATTGTTTAGCACCGATTGGACACTCTCGTACTCGTAATAGTTGGAAATTGGTCGTAGCTGGCTTTCCGGTCGGGGTTGCCGCTGGGAGTGGTACTGGTGCTGTTTCCGGCTGAAAAAAAGCTCGATTACTCTCGCATGCAACGATTTTTGCGAATTTGCAAGCTGTCTACGAACGCAGGTCTAGTCACTAAATGGATTCTTGTTACATGGAAGTCTTACTAAAGCAAATCGAGTCAAGCATCGCAATATATACACACATACCAATTCATGACTCATGATCTATGAATCAATCCAATATCTAGAAAATTATAGAAAATACAAAAAACGCGCTATACAGTGGCCATCTTTTGAAAACTTCCCACCCTCGAAATTTCTGGCAGGAAAGAAAATTCATTTGAAATCAAGGAGGACGTTTAAAATCAGTGTGGGTTGTACTTTCCCAGAGAYCMCGACTCCARTTCYKTWTTKAMTMMWGCKGYC